CTCCCGTCTGGGTGGGGGCGGCGATCCGTGGCGACGGTGCGCGCTGGTGGGCTCACACCAGGGAGGTGACGGCGGGAACCTTGGAACTATCTTCCTCCCAGGGCTGCAGATTCTGCAGAGCAAAGAGTGACGAGTTGTGCAGACAGAGCGGGTCGGGCTGGATGGAGTCGTTGAGGCTCTTTTGGAAGGCGTCGTGTTGCAGCTGCAGCATGAGCCGGCTCGCCTGCTGCCGCTCCGCCTCCCGCTCCTCCGCCGTCTGCCGCCTGCACCGGGGGAGGGAGAGGGACAGCACCGTCATGCACCCGGCACCGCGGGGCCGCCGGCGGGGCCCCGGCCCTCCCGGGAGCCGAGGCCATCCGGGAGCCTCGAGGCGCAGAAACCGTCTGCCTCCCAGCCCGCGCTTTACGCCCGAGGCCCTCATATCCAGGGAGCAGGTTGGGATCATTTGTTTTTGTTGTGTGCCAGAGGGTCTCCAGGAGGGGACTCTGCCCGCCGCCCACCTGCACGCCCGGGTACTGTGGCTTCACCAACAATAAAGACTGTGCCTTTCGCCGAATAGCAAGGGCAGGGCCTATGTGTAACTGACTTGGCCCTGCGGGAACCGGGGTCGCTGGGGTCCGCGGGTGGGCAGTCTGGCTCTGCACCACCCGCACGACGCCCGGGGGCTAGGTCAGTCTCATCCAGTTCGCCTAGAGCCTGTCTTGAACCCCTTTCCAGACGCGATCGCTTCGCCGTTTACGGGTTGTATCAAAACAGAGATCGGATAAAAACGCGGCTGCAGTGGAGACGCGGAGATGGGGTGGTGCGGGGGAGGAAAACGGCGTCCACGAGGATTGTTGAAAATCCGAGAGGGCGGGCTGGAAGAAGGAGGAGAAGGAAAGTGCGAGAGGCCCGTGTGTGTGTGTGTGTGTGTGTGTGTGTGTGTGTGCGCGCTTGTGTGTTTGGGGCGGGGGGTGAGAGGAAATCAAGTGAGCGCAGGAGACCGTAGAAAACACGGGGAGAGAGTTGGAAGGGCTCACGAAAGATGGGGATGGGGATGGAGGAGAAACCGAGGCGTGGGAGACCACGATGGAGAGAGAAGCACAGGCCAGCCAGAAGGGTGAAAGGAAGAGGTACAATCTGCGAAGGCGGGTGGGGGTGTGTTGGGGAGAGGATGGGAGGGGGCGGGGGTAGTGGATAGCCTTAAAATGGGGCGAGTCGAGGCTGCGGCTCGGGGCGGGGCAGGTGAAGGGCAGGTGTAAGGTGGGCCAGGTCAGGCCTCTCTCACCGCCACTTGGTCCTCCGGTTTTGGAACCAGGTCTTGACCTGCGCGTCCGTCATTTTGAGGGACTTGGCGAGCGCCGCCCTCTCGGCAGAGGCCAGGTACTTCTGGCGATGGAAGCGCTTTTCCAGCTCGCAGATCTGCACCCGGGAAAAGGACGTGCGCGGCTTCTTACGCTTGGGCGGCGTCCGGTTCTGGTAGGGGTGGCCGATGCGCCGGGTCACGGTGAAGGGCGTGAGTGCGGCCGCCGCTGCGGAGACACACGAGAGCCCCTGAAGCCCAGCCCGGCTCGGCCACCGTTCAGGCCCCATGCGGACCCCGTGGCGCCCCGTGGGACACGGAGAGCTCAGCTATTTCGCTGGTCGCGCGCATTTCCAGCGACACCAAGCCGGTCGGGAGACGCCCTCGCCCCCTGTCCCTTCCCGCAGGCACGGGCTTATTTTCCTGCAACTCTCCGATTACCCTCCCCACTACGGCTGCCCGGGGCACTGGGGCCGAGGCCTCAGCCGCGCTTGGGCCTCTGGAATGGTTTCCGGGAGTGGAGCGCACAGGGCGCGGCGCCTCTGGCCCCGAGAGGGCGGAGGCCTGGAGCCTGGTGGCCAGCTCTGCTCACCTGTGAAGCGGTCTTTAACGAAGCGGCGGCTGCTCTCCATCCAGGGGAAATTGAGGCCGCCCAAGCTGGAGACCGTGGGCACAGAGGGCATGGCGGGTAGCGCGCTTGGCAGAGGCGGTGGCACGGCCCCGGG